CACGGCCATACTTGCGGCGAGCCCAGGGGGGAAATGAGAAGGTACGGGCCTTTTTCGGAAGGCTCGGAAATCCCCCGGCCTTCTGAAGAGTTTCCTACGCCTTCCCCGACGACATGGAGAAATTCTCAGAAGGCCAGAGCGCTTCTGAGATGCCCCGCCGCCTTCTGAGAAGGCCTCTCCCTGCTCACGTATACCCGCCTCGCTCGCACGGGGATGGATAGAACCCCCTTTAGTGAAACGTGGTTTAGTGAAACAACCTCGGGCCCATTCCTGGCGGCCGAGGCGCCCTCTCGAGAATCGAAAACGGACAATTCACTAATCGACTTGTCAGGGTGGGGGCTCTGTCTACCCCCGAGAATAATACCCCCGCCGGGTCCTGACCCCCTGCCTCTTGGCCTCTCCCCCGGCCGAGCACCCTCCTCCAGGAGCGGCCTGCCACTTGCCGTCGTTGGGACGCCCATTCCCTGTGCTTGCTTCGGTTTCGTGCAAGTTTTGCTTATGTTGCTCGAGGGTCCAGGATGCTCCTCGATGGTTCGCGCCGAGACAAAATGCACACGTCCGAGCGATGCCAAGCCCATCTCGAGCCGGTGCACCCCGGTCGCCCGGAGGGGCCTCTCTGGGGGCCTGGCGCCTATCTGAGGAATCGGCGCGGAGTTCCGAGGGCCTCCGGCTATGCCGTGTTGTTTCTTCCTCGAATGAGGTCTGGGCCCTGGTCGTCCTCCTGCTGCTGTCCGCCGAAGAAGCAAGGAGGGGGCGGTCTCCCTCTCGGTATCGACGACCGCTTTCAGGAGGTAGATGTCTTCCTGTAGCACCCACTTGTCCAGGTGCGGTGCCGGGAAGCGAACCTGGGATGGGCAATATGAGAAGAAAAAGAAAGGAGCGGCGCGGAGGAGGGAGGAGGCGGGGACGGACGGACGGGCGCAATCGACGAATTCCCACGAAGTTCTGGATGAGTTTAGGGGCTTCGGGGGTGTCCTAGACAGGGCTCCTCGTAATCATTGAGGTGTTTCCAGAAAGGACTATGCGGAGGCAGGACTGCAATCTGGCGCCCAGTGGGGAAGATCGCCGATATCCCCCAGCGTGCCGCAGACTCATCGTCAGTGCGCCCTTCTTGCACAGGTCAGGAACACGACCACGGTAAGTCTCTCCAAACAGTATGCCCAGACCTCCATACCGAGGGGGGAATGGAGGAGATGGGGGACAGCAGGGCGAGAAGGAAACACAGAAAGGTGGAGGAGAGGGAAAACGGTGAGGATGATGGAGGACTTTGAGGGCGGCCGTCTCGGTTGGCAAAGACGTCAAGCAAAAGGAAACCACCGTCGATCTCTCCCTGCCCACGGAGCGCCGCTGCCGCAGCCTCCCTGCCAGCATCGTTCCGGACGGAAGGGAGCAACGAGCTGGTCCAATTATGAACCGACGCCTCATCTACTGCGCATGGGCCTCTGACTCCTCCTCCAACTGCTGCGAACTCTGATTGGCATTCGCCTTGGCCTGTTCGCTCGTCGGCGCCGGGCCATGCTCCTCTGAGATGTCATTGTCACGATGGATGGTTTCCTCGGTGTCACCGTTGCCCTGAACCTATTCTGGAACACTCTCAACGTGCCTCGCTGCATGCCATCCTTGCTCTGGATCTTAGCCTCACATTTCACATGCCGCCAGAAGGAGTACCGTTCTTACCCTGGCAGCGCACCTGCGGGTCCATGGTGCCACTTCGAAGGAAGCCATCCAAGCCAAGGATGCTCACTGCTTGAATATGAGGGAACGCTGGGACCGCTGCGGATCGTGTTCGGCGAATTCGTGTCGGGACGACCTTGGCGGTGGTTTCTGACACCGCGTGGATCGTTCAACCTTGAACTATCGGCGACTTTCCGATCGCCATACACTTCCATATTGGCCAATTCCGCGCGACCTGCGTTCAACCTTGAACTCCAGCGCTGGAGTTGCCGCCGCGTCGACACGACACGAACCTGCCGTAAGTATGGCAAATTCACTACGCGCATAGTGTGCAACGCTCTTCGAGGTACTTCTTGCCATCGATCGTCGCGTTCAGGTCGATGGTGTTGCCCATTTGGTCGCCACCATGTACCTGGCAAAGGCCCGTCGGGTCGCTGAAGTCGCTCCCCGGCTCTGTTATTCGTCAAAAAATCCGCGGGGTGGGCAACACATAGATCACACCCTCGACTGACCCCTTGGCCATCAGATTGTTAGCGACGCTCGCACGGGTAGTGAACTTCTCAGGGCCGCCTTTGTCACGGGAGTCGCAGGCCCTAGGCGCAGCTACACAGAAGCACTCGAGGGTCGGCCACGTCGCTCGATGGATCGCCACCCTCGCCGTTGATCTTCGCGCGGGTCGCCAATGTCCCTTACGTGGCCGCCATCCGCCCTGGATCGCTGCGATCGGATCACTGGGTGCGTGCCTGCCGAACGATGGCGTCGTTCGCGCGGACGCCCAGCTTACCACACAACAGGCATTGCTCGAGCCTTCCCGCCTCGGCGGCTGTGACCCGTTTGTCCAGGACCGTGGGCTTCGGGCCGGTGGTGCCGCTCGGCTGGACGCTGCCTCTGTTCCGCCCAAATCGCCGCGGATGGGTTCCTTTTCGCAGATCTGCGCTACATCCATCGTGTCGCGCTCATAGATTCCATCCGCGGTCCAGGCGCTGACCTGATACGCCGCCAAACAAAGTACCCTGCTTGTCAAAGATCTGGGCTGGAACTGTCAACCAAACGGTATGCATGCTGCGCGGGAACGAGATGGGAGCCGGGGGCGTACTTATAACTCCCCTGGCTCCTGCTCTCTGTCGGCCGGCGGCCGCCTGAAGCACACTACAACGCCACTCCTCTGTTCAACGACTCGATTCGAAAAACGCTGCCCGCGATCGACGAGGCCCTCCCCTCCGTCCCCCCAGTTGATGTTCCGTGCAGGACAACCGCACTAAGCCTCCCTGAATCCGTAGGGTCGCGACAGAGGATCGTGCCTGGGGAGGCCTCCCAGGGAGGGGCCCGAAATTATCTCTCTGAGGCCACCCATATTCAGAGACTTCGACCAGTTGGGTGTTCCAAGATGATGTGGTGACGGACCGTGCGGTGACCTCGAAATCCCGAGAAACGTCACCGCACGGTTTTGGAGGCCCCAATCGCCTGAGACATCCTCCAAGAACGACCCAAGTCCCAAAACCGTGCGGTGACTCCGAATCCCGAATCTCCACTGAATCACCACGGTGGGGTCACAGCACCGTCCTAGGGCCTCGCAGCCACACTCGAGACGCTGCCAAGGCCTGAGCAATCTAACCAGCCTCGAGCTGATCCCTATCCCTCAGATTAAATAAGCTCAAGAGCGACGACAATCTTGGGGATGCGCCCTGAGAAACTGAGGAATCCTTGAGATCGGTATCGAGGCACTGGCCATCGATCGGACGTCCATTCCCTGTGTTTTTGTTCGGTTTCGTGCGTGTTTTTCGTTTTTTTTTTTTTGTTTTTCGCAGGATGATCCAGGATGCTCCTTTACAATCCCCGCCGAGAAAAAGTGCACACGTCCGAGCGATACCAAGGGTAAGGCGGTGCCAATCGTAGGGATACAGTCGAAATCGCTGATAGGGATGGGTAACGGTCCCGAGGGTGCACGGAGAGCGGAACCCTGGACCGCAAAGCTGTGGAAAAAACAGTCACAACAGATAGCAAGGATACGCGATAATTGGAGGCCTGGGCACCAACACCAACACAGGGGGGTGCCTCCACAGGGGGAAGATGATCCTCGATTTCGGTGTTGGTGCTAATATTTCGGTCACCGTGGAAGCCAAAATATTACCACCATCACCGAGATCGGGATCTTCTTCCCTCGGTGGAGGCACACCAGTTGGGAAGGCTACCCATCCTTACCAGCGGTTGCGACTGCCCTTGTGCTTCTCGCCTGCGAGGGTGTTCTTCCCTGGCTGGCGGAGAACGCCCGCATTGGGGACGGGCTCAGGAGGCAACGACGTCGCCGATAGATCGGCGCGGGGCCCTATCGGTCCCACATCGGATCAGTGAGCGATTTGGGGTCGATGCGCCCCCCCCCTGCCCTCCTGGGCGTATGCCTCCCTAACGATGCACCTGACCCGAGAGATCCTCGTCTGGTGTTCGGGTCCTAACTCCGACGTTCGAGACGATCTGGGCGCCGCGGGAACGCTCTCGGCGAAGCGCAGCTGCTGGAATGCATCCCGAGGCCGGAAAACCGCCGAGGAGCGACGAACATTCGAAGCCTCGAGGCTCGAGCTGGACATCCCCCCCCAAACTGAAGAAATGGCAAGACACCGATGCCGACACTCCTCAGACTCCTCCGGGGGCGCTCTCCGACCAAAATTTTGAAGCGAATCCAGCCGTGGCGACAAGGGCCTCCCACGAGGCCGAAACGGACGAAAGCGCAGGAAGGGTGCCCGTATCAGTACCTCTTCCTGGCGACGTTATTCTTATCATGACGTGGACCCATGGGGGGCCGGAGGAGCCAGGGCGGAGGGTGCAGTAGGATTCGCATCGGAGGGAGGGGGCGAGAGAATAGAGGCTTCCCAGGTGGGGTCCGAGTGGGTGGGGTCGAAGGGTCGCGCCGCATCGCCGATGCATCGTGGACGTCGGCGTGGCGAAAATCGGTCGGGTTCCACTTCGAGCCGCATCGTCGATGCATCGGCGATGCGGCGCGACCCTCCGGCCCCACCTACTCGGACCCCATCTGGGAGGCCTAGAGGGAAGGAAGCAGGAGAAAGGATGACGGAGGAGGAAGTACTTCCCTCGCAGGCTGCTGCCCCCCTGAGCCTGCATCCCCCTTATTAACACTGCCCCCGACCCACCCTGGCGCTCCTCCGCTCCCCCCCCCCTGCAGGCCGGAGCGGTGTTCCTTTTGGCTCCAGCCGCCCCCCGTAGAGCCAGGGCGTGGCCCTCTGCGCTGATCTGGCGGACCCTGCCCTGGAGGTCCCTGTGGAGGGTGCAGTCGGGCTCGCCTCGGAGGCAGCTCCTCCTCCTCCACCTCTTCTTCCCTTTCCTCCGCCTCCTCCTCCTCCTCCTGCTGCTCCTCCTCCTCCTCCTCCTCCTCCTCCTCCTCCTCCTCCTCCTCCTCCTCCTCCTCCTCCTCCTCCTCCTCCTCCTCCTCTCCTCCTCCTCCTCCTCCTCCTCCTCCTCCTCCTCCTCCCCTCCTCCTCCTCCTCCTCCTCCTCCTGCTCCTCCTCCTCCTCCTCCTCCTCCTCCTCCTCATCCCCCTCCCCCTTACTCCGCACTCCGCATTCCTTATCACTCTTCCTCACTCCTCACTCTCCCTCACTCCTTCTCCTCCTCACTCCTCACTCGTCGCTCCTCAATCCTGTTCCTCCTCTTCCTCCTCCCGCTCGCGCGCGGTTGAGCGTACGGTCATCGTACGTCGGGGGAGGGGGTGTTAAGAGCTGAACTACTTATGCTGTCCCTCGACTCGCGCTGGAGCGTCTACGATTTGGTTTGCTACGGATGTGTCTTAGGTTCCTGAAATATCTAGATTGGCGCAATGTTACCTTAACGTGTCTCCAGGTGCCTCGTCATAATTATACATGCATTCACATGCATATATGTTGATAAAGTATGTCTGTAACACGCATATACATATGTTGTAAGTATACACGTACACACCTACCTATGTACGTATACACATGTGTGTGCAGGTGTGTTTAGATATTGAGTTACCTGAGTTACCTCGATTCATCTCCCTTGATCCCTGCAAGTCGAAGGTTCTGTCTTTGAAACTTCGATCTTCGAGAGTTCGACATTTCTTGGGCACTCTTCCTATTCTGGGCCTCCAAGAGGCTTCTCGTCGCCGTGGCCGCATCCGCCTCGGATCATGGCCAGAAAGTACCCAAGAACTGAGCCAAAGGCCGACTTAGGACCCCTCGGCCCTGACATCCTCGCGTCGTGGCAGAACTCGCTACGGGGGGCATGTCCTTATACAACTTCTGCCTCCGACGGCCCGGGCCCCGGGACCGTCAAAAATGACGGAGGAAGAAGAACTGGTCTTCGCACGAACAATCAAACAACTATGAAGGGTCCTGGGACACACAAATAAATACACACAAATAACAGGATTTCCCATATGTCCAATATGTTCTGGTTTTTTGATCCCCCCCCCCCCACTTCCAATTGTTTCCTATATTTTCTTGGGAATCGACGATTCATTGTGTCTGTGTGTTTTCCCTACTGACAAAGGGGGGGGGGGGGGGCAGGGGGGAAAACTCTCGCAACAGGATGTTGTTGTAAACTCTCGGCCTCCGGAAGCCCTCACCGGGCCCCAGGGCCGCCAAAACCCGGTCAGGATGAGGAACCGGCCCCCAGCAGAGTCCAGACCCAGACCCACGACGTCGCGTTTTTTCATGGCATGGACCCCTGGTTAGGTGAACGAATAACGACATAAACATAACAACTCGGAGGTCCGCGTGGATTTCGTGGATCCGCGCTGGACCCCCCCCCTCCCTGGCGCGTGGAGCGCGCCAGGGGCGGCGCCAGAGGCGCCGTCAGAGGGTTCCAGCGCGGATCCAAGAACTCCGCGCGGACCTCCGAGTTTCTACGTTTATGTCACTCTTCGTTCCCCTACGGAGGTCTGGATCCCTTCCCTGCCGGGCCGGCTTGCCATCCCCCGTCGCTCTGTGGGCGGCCCCGGGGCCGGGCGGGGGCCCCCGTGCCGAGAGGCGTGGGGGACGCCGTGGGCGCATCGCGGCGTCGTTGTCCAGGCAGGGAGGGGGGAGGGACGCAGGAACGGCCTGCAGCTAGGGAGGTCGATGGGCCCAAATGCCGCCTGGGGGGAGGAGGAAAAAGCGGACCGCCTCGCGTCGTGGAACAAAAAGCAAAAAGCACGACGGGATGATTTTCCCCAAAGAGCTTGCTGAACTGGGTGCTGCTGTGGCCCTGACTAAATATTTCCGATCGGGGAACGCCCGCCCAGAGACATGCTCACAACAATTTGGTGGTCTGGCGCCTTCCGCCTGAGAGGTTCTGACAAATCTCGATTCTGAAATGGCTGGGATTGGGCGTCTCGCCTGAGACACCATCGCAATTCTGGGCTCTGGGATGCCGCGCGCCAAGTAGTCTGGCGCGCTTCGCCAAAGACATCCTCACAATTCTGGGCTCCGTGATGCCGCTCGCGAGGTGGTCTGTCCCGTTTAGACTCAGATATCCTGACAACTCTGGGCTCCGGGAAGCTGCGCGAAGAGGTGGTCCAACGCGTCTCTGTTGAGACATCCTCGCACTTCTGCGCTCCGAGATGCTGCACGCGAGATGGTCTGGGAGTTTCCCTGGAAACATCCTCTCAATTCTGAGCTCCGAGATGCCGCGCGCGAGGTGGTCTGTCGCGTTTCGCTCGAAACATCCCAGCAACTCTGGGCTCCAAGATGTCGCGCGCGAGGTGGTCTGGCGCGTTTCGCTTGAAACATCCTAGCAACTCTGGGCTCCGCGCTGCCGCGCGCGAGGTGGTCCAGCGTGCTTCGCTTGAGTCGGCGGTGGACAGATCTCCCTTTAGTAAACCTCCCTTCGGTGAAAGCGGCCCAGGACCGAAACCGACGGACCTGGACCCGCAAAAATGGCGGCCGCGACGCCCCCTCGCGAACCGAAAACGGCCGATTCGCTAATCGACGTGTCATAACACCTTGAGATAAGTGAGAATGTTTGAATATCAGATAAATTCGTCACTAAATCCTTTGTGGCTGGCGTTGGCTTAATGTCGTCTTTTAATTTCTTGATGGGGGTAGGAGGTCTGTCCACCCCCGATTCACAACTCTGAGCTCCAAGACGCCGCGAGAGGGGTCGTCCGGCGCTCGTCGCCGGAGACGTCCGTCCAGCTCTGAGCTCCGAGGGCTGCCGCGCGCGAGGTCGTCTGACGCGCTTCTATGGAGACGTCCTGACGCCTCTGGGCTCGAGGGGCAGTCCAGCGCGCCTCGCCGACGACATCCTCACAGCACCAGGCTCCGAAGGATCGAGGGAGAGGTGTTCCAGACCGTTTAGCCTGAGACATCCTCGCAACTCTGGGCTCCGAGATTCCGCGCGAGTGGTTGTCTGGCGCGTTTTGCATGAAAAATCCTCGAAACTCTAATCTCCGAGCTGCCGCGCGCACGAGATAACCTCGCAGTTATGGCTCCGAGACGTCGCGCGAGATGTGGTCTTGCGCGTTCCGCCGCAGACATCCTTGCGACTCTGCGCTCTGAGGCAACTCTGGACTCCAGGATGCCGCGCGCGAGGTGGTCTGTTCGCCCGAGAAATCCCCAAAACACTGGGCTCCGAGAGGAAGGAAGGGAGGAGGAAGGGAGGAGGGGTCAAACCCAAACGAACAATTTTGACTAAGCTTCTGTCACCGCACTGTGCTCTGGGAGGGGGGTGGGCGCCGTCTGAGACATCCTCGTATGTCGCGCGAGAAGTGGTCCGGCGCATTTCGTCTGAAACATCCTAGCAACTCTAAACTCCCAGATGTCGCGCGCGAGGTGATCGGGCCCGATTCGCGACAGGTGTACTTGCAACTTTGCGCTCCAAAAGGCCGCATGCGAGGTGGTCTGGCGCGTTTCGCGTGCGACATCCTCGCAACTCTGGGCTCCGACATGCTGCTTGCGAGATGGTCGAGCGCATGTCGCATGAGACATTCTCGAAAGTCTGGGCTCTAATAGGGAGGAGGGAAGAGGGGTAAGACCCGAACGAACCATATGATTACACTTGTATTGTCTAATTGTGCTCTGGGATGTGTCTGGGCGCCGCCTGGTCCATCCTCGCATGCCGCGCGCGAGGTGGTCCAGGCCGTTTCGCCGTTGACATCCTCGCAACTCTGGGCTGCGAGATGCTGCGCATGAGGTGGTCTGGCCAGTTTCGCTTGATCCATCCATCCTCGCAACTCTCAGCTGCCAAATTGCGCGCCCGAGGTGGTCCAGCCCGTTTCGCCTGACATCCTCGCAGATATGGGCTGCGAGATGCTCCACGCAAGGCGGTCCAGCGAGTTTCGCCTAAGGTATCCTCACAAATCTGGGCACCAAGACGCCGCGCGCGAGGTGGTCCGGCCCGTATCGCCTGAGACATCATCGCAACCCTGATCTTCGAGATGCCGCGCGAGAGGTGGTCTGGGCCGTTTCGCCTGAGACAGTATCGCAAGTCTGGGCTCCGAGACGCCGCGCGAGAGGTGGTCGGGCCTGGTTCACCCGAGACATCCTCGCAACTCTGCGTGTCAAGACGCTGCGCGCGGGGTGGGCCGTCGCGTGTTGCATGAGACAGCCTTGCAACTCTGGGCTCCAAGGCGCCGCGCGAGAAGTGCTTTGGCGCGGTCCGCCGCAGACATCCTTGCAACGCTGGGCGCCGAGACGCCGCGCGCGCGGTGCTCCGGTGCGTTTCGCGGGAGGCATCCTCGCAACGCTGAGCTCCGACATGCTGGTGTGAGACACTCTCGAAACTCTAGGCTCCAATAAGGAGGGAGGAGAGGGGGGTAAGATCCAAACGAACCATTTGATTAGTTACTCTTCTATTGTCTAACCGTGCTCTGGGATGGGTCTGGGCGCCGCCTGCGACATCCTCTCAACTCTGGGCTCCGAGATGCTGCGCGAGAAGTGGTCCAGCCCGTTTCGCCTAAGACATCCTCGCAACTCCAGTCTCCCAGATGCCGCTCGAGATATGGTCTGGCCTGTTTCGCATGCGACATCCTGGCAACTCCGGGCTCCGAGCTGCCGAGCGCGAGGTGGTCTTCGGAAGACTTACATAGACACGACCAGCGGGATCCCTCAGACCCAGATATGGCCATTGATGGCTCGTGCGTTATCGTATGTTGTTATGCTGCCCAACAATGTGGCCAGGACAACGTGGCCTCCGCGGTAAACACAAAGAAGCTGCACTGGCTGGGGTGTCCCGCGGTGTCCCGTGGTATCCCCCCATATTGGCTGGCGGTAGCCTGGGGATGTCCCGCGGTGTCCCGTGGTGTCCCCTCGCGTCCGGTGTTGTGCGATGCTGAACTATGCTGTGC